TGTAGGACATTAACTGATAAAACAGAATATTGTTTGTTTATTTTTAGACACATCTCGCGATCGATCCGGTCCGATCGCGGGGAGATTCGACTGGTTGGGAAACCCCTACCTAAGGCCATCCCTATAGGTGTAAGTATTCAGACTTCCTTGTGATCTTGTTGTATAGGTCATCCAGTTGCTAAGTATCCGCCGCTGGAGTCAGTAAGGATGAAATAGATACGATAGTTACATTGTAACTACGGTTCTATGAATCCTGGATACGCCAGAGTTCCTGGTCACACACTCGGAATCTTGTGTTTCCGCGAGAAGATTCCATAGGACTGAACTAAAGTGACAACACCGGAACTTATGCCTTCGGGGTCATAGAGGTCACACTGACTTTGTTGATATAAATATCGACCTGCGCTATGCGCGAGACAAATGATATTCAGTGCTAAGCTGGTCATCCAGGATTCATAGACGTATCGTTTTTTACTGTTGAGTCTGTGTGGCTCTGTCCTGTGTGCGTGCGTGCGTGCGTGCGTGTGTGTGTGGTGTGAGTAGCAGGTGGGTGCCCGGTAGTGGATTGGCTGCCCTCGACAGGCTGATTGGTCACCTGGGGAGATGGGAGTAGTTAAGCTGCAGTCTGTGCAGTTCCTCCTGCCTCTCTCTCACTCGACGTCTCCTACTCCAACTCTGTTTGTGATAAAGCTGATCTGTTGTGTGTGTGTTTAACTATAAATACCGGATCCTTGTTGTACATTGTGGTAAATTTTGGAACTTAACCTGTATTGAAAGCACGCTTTTAATTTGCCCAGGAGTTCGAAACCTTTTCTTTGTTTAACTCGTTTTCTACTGTTTTTCGTCAGGGTAGGTACAGGGTTCCCTCGGGGTCTTAAAAAAGTCTTACATTTGATCATCGGAATTTTAAGGCCTAAAAGGTCTTAAATATGATTTAGAAAGTCTTCAAAAATTATGGATTGAAAGGTATCTTTGTTGCCTGATCACGTCTAAATGTATTTTGGGGGAAATGTCCGGGCTGCAATAGTGTTGTGTCAGTCGCGAAACAGCCGATTCTTTTGAACGGCTCTTTGGTACGAACGAGGGGAACCGAGTCCTACTTGGTGAGAGCCGTTCTTGTTATCGTTCAATCGTTTGTCCGCACTCACTGCCTGCCAAAATCCACTAGCCTTTTAAAAAGCTTGATTTTGTTCCCCAAACGTATTCTGTAAAGACCTGCCCCTACTCTGATTGGTAGGTTTCAGCACGAGGAGTGAGATGGGGTTGGTCTAAACGGAATACGCGATTGAGAGAGAAGTCATAACAAGTGGTACAGGACAGGTAGACGACAAGTTTTTCGGATGGAAAATGAGCCAAACGCAGCAGCATTTGGATGCACTTCAACCAAAACCCAGGCACTGATAAAGCGCACCATTTGTAAAGGCAAAATATCCTTTAAAACAGGGTCAAAAAATAATCTCCATCGCCACTTAAACACAGTATCTATTAAGAGTTGCATGAATTTCATTCAAGGCAAGGCAACTTTATTTACTTAACACGTACAGAGGGTAAATTCAAAGTACATTCACTGACATGAATGACATGGCGCCACCTTGTGTCATGTTTACAATGCCGATTATTGACATTAGGTCTGGCAATACAGTCAATCATTATCCTGGTGATTATTTCGCAGATAAACCTAGTAACCCCGCCCCCTTTAAAAAAATGGCTCTTTTGAACGACTCTTTTGAACGGCTCTTTGAAAGGAACGGAGCCATAAGATCCGGCTCCCTTCAAAGAGCCATAAATCCCATCACTACTTGAAACAGCGTTTCAGTTTTCTTCCTCACATGGGGAGAGAGGATTTTTTTTGGTCTTCTTTATTGACATTCGGGATCGAACACAATTGGGCTTTTGGGTTCAAAGTTGCATCATCCAATATTTTTTTGTCTGAAATACCCCATATTGAGATTATTGACAACAGATATTACAAAATGAAAGAAATGAACAATTAAGACTCTTTCTTGCCATAAAATCATACATTTGAGTCTGGCCTATGGATTGGGCTGCAACCAGTTTCCGCATGAAATAACTTTGTGCAATGTTCGGTTAACAACCTGAGAAAACTACATTTTTGTAAAGGTTAAATGTTATGTCACCCCATACAATTTGAATGTGGCTCCCATAACAGTGTCTTCCTAGAAGCCTTATTATAATTTTAGGTAGGACAGCTCAAGAACTCCTTATCTTTGTTGTTCACCAACTTTTTATCAAGATTTATCTTTTCAGATAGGCCTATCCTATGTAAGTGATCATCGCAATATAATGTAGATAATAGATATGACTTAAGTTAATAACTCAGTTATTTGGGGGGGGAGTTATACAAATTACATTTTATGATGAATTCATTTATCAGAATTTTTTTTAATTAATAGGCCTATGTGTTCTGACCCCCTCGAGTAATTTAGCAAAAAGCCACTTGGCAAGAGTCCGAGCTCTGGCTTATTAAAAAAAAAAATCCAAAACCCAGCAACCACAGACGGACTGAAACATGCTGCTGTTTAAAGCTAATGACTTGTGTTTAGCTGGTTTACTGTCCAAACAGAGCCACTGACATCCAGCCAGCATGTGTTCCTCCTGTTCCTGGAGAACATCTGCCTGCAACAGGTAAACATTGCAGACACACAGCGAACCAATCACATGTGAGGAAAACACAGTATGGGAAGGCTCAGTGTACACACTGACTGATAAGGGTGACTGTGGATTAGAGATTATTTGACAAATCTCAGATCTCAAAAGGTCAGACGTGTGGGCGTTCGTTAACACACATGAGCAACACAAGATACCCCGTATATCACAAGATACCCACTTACTAAAGATAACTTGCCAATACATTTAAAAAATAAATACAAATCTGTCAATTAACGAGAACAATCTCATACATTTACAAGAAACAGACTTAAATAGTGGTAAATCTTAAAGTCACAAATGTATGAGGAAATTAAAATGTTTTTTTGTCCTTAACCAAATAAATTCACATTGCAAGATTGGCTCAACCTCATCACACTTCCCGAAGCACAAAAGCTATTCCCTCATTCAACTCACTATGGTGTTTTCTTATGAATAGGCCCAATTCACTGCAATTTCCCTTTAAGTCTTGAAGCTTATGATAATATAGCGATTCTGGGCTAGAAGCCAAAGTATTTTCTTATTGCTAAATCCAATTGTAAAGTATAATTTGATTAGGTCATCCCCTGCAGGGCATAATGTGTGGCAAGTGAGCGGAAGGTGATTTCACAGTAATTGTTTAATATTATTTGAATTTAAACACAGAGTTACATTCAATGACCCTAGTGTGTGATGAAAAGGAGTGTACATCATTTTGACCATTAAAGGTCCAGACTCGAGGCTCAGCTGGCCCACACGGGGCCATCGCTTCAACAGCTACTCCACTCATGTAAACATGACCTCTGTTAGACTAACAGCCTGATTTTTTTTTTTTTAAAGTAATCTCATTCCAGGGAGACTTTCTATAAAACCAGACCAGGCACTTTGAAAATCCCGAAGTATGCGTGTGCCAAACACATAGTGGCTTAGCGGAGATAGAGAGAAAATTCAGCGTCACATTCTCAATTTAAAGATTAATCTCGGGTCTGTGTGGCTCAGCGGGCTGGAGGTGGACGCCATCACAGGTTCAAAACCAGCTCACGACCTCTGCGAAACATCATGTTTCCTTCCTGAATTTCCTGTCATGTTCCACTGAGTACTATCTAGTGAAGCAGAGATCTCCTTAACGGATAATACTGAAGTTTGAGCTTTCTTTACATTATTCTTACCTGTGCACAGTCGACAAACCTTAAAAATAACATATCATTAATTTTTGTGCAACATGAAAAACTACAGTGACCTGGCAATCACGAAATATCTCAAGAAAAATGAGATTTATTTCATTACTTCAGTGTTTAACTATCTACTGTGAATTTTTTCATATCATTAAACACTTCTCCCGCTGTCAGTCATCTAAAGAAATGAGAAGACAGCTATAAGAATTAACCCCACCTAAACGCGTCATGTTACAAACTTTATTGCCACAATCAAGTCTCTTTTATTCAGCTCAATCTTGTGTCTAAAAATGCTGTATATATACTGCTATCGTGTTTGCCAAATAGGTTTTAAGGGAAACGTAATAGCTGCCATGATTATGATCACTGGCAACATTTTCGGCAGTTATGGAAGTATTACAATACTGGATAAGTCAGAATTCATGTGACTGTTTTGTGTGGAAAGCAAAGGGATGTGGGTTGAATTTGTAACCTGGCAACAGCAGCAGTAATGACTCAGGATAGGAAATTATCTCAAAATCAAATTCGTACAAATTGTGTTAGCCTTTTAAAAGTCTTCTCAGGATTTCTCCAGAAGTTTATTCTAGGCAAAATGTGCTGCAAATCATTTAAAATACAAAGTAATATATCTCCAGTCTAAACTACAGTGGCATTGTTTGTGTACTGTATCTGATTCAGTGAAAGTAACTTTGTGGTTCCGGCTTACTATAAACACAATAATGACTTCAGCCACTGGCAGCTCTCCAGAGACCTTTCACCGTGTGCCAACAACACATATCAGAAGGCAACAAAGGGATGTCTGAACAAACCTCTGGCTCTTCAGCTCAGTGATCGTCTCCTAAAAACCAAGTAGCATTATATCCGACGCAAGCACAAGCCAACAGCAACTGAGGCTTGGAGATAAAGATCAGCTGCTCCTGCCTGTGGTTTTAACCAACAAGTGTTACAGCACTACATGGCTGACAATTAAAGTTACATTCCATTGGGGGAAAGAAAAATACTTACAAATACTTAATGTATTAACCGTCTTTGGTTTTGGGAATCATTAACATAAAGAAGATATACTAGTGGTTCAAAAGGTTTTTAACTTAAACTCTGACCAGCAAAAACTTCAATTGTAATTGGGAAGTTATTGATCTTAACAAGACTTTAAAACATTGCATATGAACAACGTTATGTTAATCTGGACTATTGTGCAAGTAGCACTGCAAAAGAGTGACAAAAAAATACTTTACACAATTTATTGAAGTACTAAAACATAGTGGTACAGCAATGAGGTCACCGCAAACATTTCCATCACCCCATTTCTTTTTTCAGCATGAGCAAACTCTCATATATGGAGAATGTTTAGGGACTCTGTCAGCATCGAGGCCCATTGCTCTGTGGTGTGATGCATGGCATGAGGTGGGAATGCAAAACATGTACAACAGAGTGTGGACAGCTCTTGGATGCCATGTATCAACAGATCCCTGAAATGTGTTTTCACACTAACACAAGAGGAGGAAAACTGACAGGATCCTGAATATTACATGAAATATTTGGACAGTTGTAATTCCTGGTCACTAGATAGGACAACATCATTTGTTTTAAATGTACAAGTACTAATGTCTTAAACCTTTATGAAGAGGTCAATGAATCTGTTACTATACAGTATCTTTATAGATCAGTCATGAACTATTAATCTGAAGGGTGAAGCCAGCTTAATGCAGTTGTAACTTAGTCATCAATCATCATGCTTCACATGAAAAACCTGACAGAACAGAACAATGCATTCCTAAAGTGCATTTTTTTTGCAACTGAATGAATGTAAACAACAAAAAATGTATTCTGGCCTGCATCCTAACATTAAAAAAAGCTTTTTAACTGAAAAGCAGGATATATGCTTATTAACCTGTATATAAAGTCTGGGATCAGGAGCATACAACTAGCCTTGAGCTCTCTAAGGTAAACATAAAGGACTATAAATGAATACATTAGTAAATATTCAACAACACATTTTCCTAATTAATATATTTGGTTTGTTTAATTTGTACAAAAACGTAGCCTTTTCCCCCATGCTTAGTATGCTAAGCTAATGTAACTGCCTGCTAGTTAGCAAATCAGCATCTTCATCACTTTCCAATTAAAAACACATCATCCCTCCCTCCTGCCATCAGATGTGTTGTGCACCACTTAGCAGAGGGCATACTGCACTTTAAATAAATATATAATCTGATGTCCTCATTATCACATGTAGCTTTCTCGGTCCACTAAACAGCATTATGGACATACACACACACAGCATTCTTATATGTAATAAATTGCTCCCTTGTATATTCCCTTGAGACCTCCCCTTGAATGGGGAGACAGATGTTTATGCAGTTGCCATGGCGAGGGGTGTCCTTTAGTGAGGGAGCAGCCGAGGTGTCGCACGATCCACATCACCCTCTCATGGAGTCATTTGAAAAAACACTGAAATACCATCGTCTCCACGGGGTGGGAAGGAGGACACATACTGCAAAAAAACAAGAAAGAATTTATTTTTACATAAATTGCCATTTCACCCCAGAACAACGAGGGAGTTATTGATAGCTCCTGCACAAGACGAAAAGTAAATATTCCCACAAATGAGAACTACATCCCACTGAAACAAATACGGTTGAACTTCAGTATTTTAAGTTTTGTGTATTATTGTTTGCATGTTAAGGTTCCGGTCTCTGCAAGGTACTGTTTATCATAAAAGCATACCAAACTATAT